ATTTATATTATATTTAACTTTATAATGCTATAACTTATTGAAAAGTTTATGGATCCACACAATTTTTTTATGAGAAATAATATTTTTTAATAAACCCTTTTTCATTCGACATACTTTATCTTAATCGAGATATTAATAAGGAACCAGCAGATCAAGTAGCTTTTGGAATAAAACACCAATTTTTTTTAAATTAAACACTATCTAAAGATTTGCATCGAAGCGTTTATTTTTGATAGTGATTTTAATTACTGTCAGATATCATTATACTTGATCCAACTATGCCACGTCTCCACTGTCCCGCGACCCCCCTGTGCTGGGTTTTTTTTTATATTGTATTTGAACAAAAATGTCATGAGCAAAATAAGAAAAGATCATATGAATTGTTTGGTATCTTAAATGTGAAAAGAAATATTTAGCCCTCATCAAATTGTTTTAAATATGCCCCTGGTTATCATGATCATAACTGATGTTTCAATTATATCGGTGTAATTTATGGATCTGATTAGTCGATATTTTGTGCAGACCTATTCAGCGACTAAAAAATAACCATAATCGTTAAATAAAGCATTCAAGATATCTTATATAACTCAAAGAGGGTATTAAATGTCATTCAATAGTCCATTATAGTCGTGTATAACTTTGGTGAAAATCAAATGTATGCAATAATGGATAATGGACATGAGAATCTGTTTGATATTTTTGATACATTAAATCTTCGTTCATCTTTCCTTTAAGATAATGTTTTTTTTAATTAATATTGAGAAGTGATATTGTAATTAAATATTTAGTCTCAACATAAAAATTTCACTCAGTAAATAAATTGCATAATTTCCCTGGTTTTTAATAACTATATTGAATATGAGTAGGGTAAGACTTGGTTATAGTTCTACGATTTTTCCTGACTTCATAAAATAAATTTATAATCTGAAATTTTGATGAGAATTACTTTTATATCTAGCCTAATAATAAAAATATTTTCAATTGTCTTTCATCGTCATTTCTTTCTTCTTTTAAGGGGTGAAATACGAGTTTTCATGAAATTGTCATTTTTCCCCAGATGAATTGTAAGATGAAAAAAACGTAAAAAAAAAAAAAATTGTAACTTAAACTATTGTAAGATTCATATAGGTTCATTACAAAAAATATATATTAAATAGTACTTTTAGAATATTTAAGAGAGGAATTTGAAAACATTTTCAAAAAACCTAATTTATTTCACTAATATCTAAAATTTATATGTTCAAAAATTATATCCAAACACAAAATATGACTTTCTAATCTCAACCGAAATTAACGTGCGTGCACGTGTATTAGTACTAATGAGTAACAATGTGTACCGTAAGAGGCTATGTGTGGTTTATTTTGAGAAATACTGAATTCGTCATTTTCCCCATTCAATATCTTACCCTACTATGAAGAAAATTGTGATTTAAGAAAATATAACTTATTTTTCCAACTAAAATCTTCATATAAAATGTTTTAAAACAGAAGTGTAATAATGAATAATAGCATAATAAAACATGCTGTAATTCATTTAAGAAATATTCAAAACGCAACTATACTTAAAAGTTTGTTATTGAAGTATATTTTTTAAATATTCATGAAAATAAAATAAAAAATATCTTTTATTGTAAAACATTAAAGTACATTGTATATATGAAATGTAGTTAGAATATCATTAACACTCAAAAACTTTCTATTGTCGTCAAAAACTATTTTTAAAAAGTCATGAAACAGCTAGCTGCCTATTTGAGTTTGGTGTAGAATTGAATAAAATTCGTTTGCTTTACCGAATTACTTTTTTGTATAATAAAAAACGTTCAGTTTTAAATATAAGTTTAGTAAAAAATTATTATGTTCAGTAGTTGTTTCGTTTATGATTCATTCTGGTAGTTTTAATAAGAATTTAAATTTATTTCATGATTAATTAAAAACTTACCGGAGATGTTCAAAAAAAATATGCACAGTATTAGAATATCGTTTAAAGTCTTCATTTTATGGTGACCATAACATAGGTCACAGCACTGTTTTGATACTACTCATGGCTTCATTTAAACAGCATCTATTAAAGAACAAATGTAAAATATAATTCACTGATACTGAATTTTTATTTAATAGTATGTTTATTTGGTAAAAGATAGATAAACAACCCTTACTGGTAACGTCAGTATAAAATATATATTCTGCGACTTATCATTAAAAACAAGTGGACACGGAACAGATTTATATGTTGTCTCATTATTTAATCTTTCAACCATAAATTTTACGAGTAATCATGTAATGTGCATTATTTATGGTTACAAACTGAAAGTAATAATATTTTTCAAGATAACTTTGAATTATGTTTTAATTATGAATTATGTCAACTTGGGTCATCAGATTAACATAACTGAGAACGTGAAAAAAAAATCATTTTACGATTGAAATAATATGCTCTTATTATTTAATTCGAAATTTTGAAATTCAATTTTCTTTTTTCAAAATATTTCATAATATAATTATGAGTACTAGATTTATGAAATTCTTCTTTCTGATTTGATTTCAAATAAGACTTTTCAAAATATTACTTTTACATTAATTTTTCCAAAAGCATTGATAAATTAATTTTTAAGGGTCCACAAAGTCTGATGGTACACTCGAACTATTTTGAAGCGCAGATTGTTTTTTGTTCCTACATTTTATAAATCCACTTCTGAATTTTATTTTTTTCTTAAATCAAAATTATTTCTTTTTGTAAATGAAAATTAGACAAAATTAATTTAAATTAATTGAACATCGGGGAATATATCATTCCACCCCTTTAAATACAGTTTTGATAGTTCTACTAATTATTGATTTAAATTGTTTTGTCCAATAAATTATATTAATCGGTTATTTAAGTAGTGTCTATTAAATTGAACTATCGATATTAACTAAGTTCCGGAAGTTTTTAACGATAAGACTATAATGGCTAATGATAGTGCAGATAAGATTTTTCAAATCGAACAAAAAAAAATGATTGATGTAGAGAGCAGACAAGTTTTCTGATCCTAAACAATTTATTTTTCACAGCTGTAGTCATCCATATCCTGTTTGACAACTTACTTGACACTCTTACTTACAAACTGCAGTTTACGTTGACATAGATAAAATGTTTTAGGTGTCCAATACTGGCCGGTGGTCTCTTTCATTATTTTGATCGAATGCGTATCGTTTAATTTTTCAAGGTAATTTAAACATCATTGATGCCTATCTATTGAATTATTTGATTTAAAAAAAATCTTATTTAGGATGTTATTATAATTTAATAATAGAAAAAAAGCGAGTGATCAATTAATTTTTCTGAGTATTCACTAATTTTGAATCTTTTGTATATTTCTGTGACTTATACATGTATTCAATTTTGAGTATGTGAGATAATTTAGCATGTAGAAAACATTTATGGTTGTAATACATTTTTTGTCAGACTTTGTTCGTGATCACTACTATGTGTATATTATTTTTGTCATCTAAATCGTATAAAATGTCAAAAAACAGCACATTACACTAATGCCCAGGGGATATGTAGATAAAAACAGTAATATTTTAAATATCTATAATCGCCACGAGTAAATTTCCCACCTGTGACCACATCTATGTACAAAATATTAACCCCAATATAATTTTAATTGTGTTTAATTAATTTGCATTTATATAATTTTATATCAATCTTTTTATTTGTTGTGTTTTACAAGTTTGTTTTTCAATTACCTTTAAAAAAACATATATCAGATAAATAAACGAAAAAAATTAGACAGATTAAAAATTTTCTCTAGTAGAAAACATATTCTCACGCTTGAAGTTGTAAAATCGTTATTATTTTAGGATTCTTTATATCTATCCGTTGTTTTTGTAATGAATATTTAAGTAACACATAAAATGTACTTATAAAAACCATAACTAAAAATATAAAACTCTTTTGACCTTATAATAAAATTCTTCAACCTCCTTACTATGTAAACATTTGAAAATGGCATGTCGCCTATTTTTTGTACTTCTAAACTTGTCCGACTCTATGCAGTAGTCTGTGTGATATATTATTTTAGATGTGACGTCGCTTTGGCGTATAAATGCAACGTGCTTTGTAAAGAGTATGACAAATTATCATTTCACATTAAATCTGTATAATAACCTTCTTTTGGGATTTATAGTTATGGACAATTTAATATTATACCTGTTATAATAAATATGTGATTAATAATTAATTTTCGTAAAATTATCAACCTTGTATTCAATTTTTACTTTTTCAGATTTCAACTTTTAAAATATTACGTTGTAATTTAGTGATTATAATTGTAATGACTAAATAAATATACCCAAATATTCATGTGTTTAAAAAATATTTTTATTGATCAATCGTTCACATGAAATAAATGAAAAAATCATTATTATTTTTAAAGGATATTTTTATTCGTTGTATTTTTTAGGTTTCGTTAAAATTAAAAAGTCGTGCTATCATTAATACATAAAAAATTAAAAATACAATGATTTTAATGGTAAGAGATGAATACTTGTACTCGCTGTAAAAATAAATATATATCACTTAAAAATATGATATATTTTCAATTGAATTATTATTATTTTTATTGTAATTAAGATTTTCAATAATCTTTACACAATTACCTAATATCGAAAAAAAATTATACCTTTTGTTCGTCGCGTACGCAGAAATGAGCGGAAGAGCAGCGGTTACGGAGCAGACAACATGCGGTTGGGGTAAGTGTTTGATCAGACGTACAGAGAGTCATCCAGCGGTGTCGCATTGAACACGACGACGACGGCTGCCATAGCGTTTAGGACTCGAATCGTGTTTAATCCGTTGCCGTCGACGCTTCGCCGTAACTAGGACACACAGGCGCAGTGGACACATTGGCGCGACACAATATCTTCGTGTGCGGCATCCTCCTAAAGGAAATACCTATACATAATACTCTCGTGGTAAATGTCCGCGGCACCCTCGAGTGTGATGAGGGAGAGTAACAATGTAGATCACGGCGATGGCAATGATAATTTTCCTCATTGCCCTTCAGCCACCCTCACCGCTTACTCGAAATGGATACTAAGTGCCATGTCAGTAGTGTTGTAAAGTAGCTTATGCATTAACCGATTTTAGATTGAAACTCTAAAAGAAAAAATGCAAAACGGTAGAAAGGAAGCAGAAGATAGATGAAGCCTTTTACGAAAATCTGTACCGTTTTATTAAAAATAAGTTTAAGCCGAATGAAAATAAAATATAATGGCCGACTTCGGAGAAAATGTTAAAAAAACTTTCTTTATGAGAGACATTTATTAATGTGAAATTTTTTTATTAAAACAGCATTGATGATCCAACCAGAATGTACACCAATCTTAGGTACCGTTTTCAATGATTATTTTTCAAAACGGCGACCGAGATAGGCAATATTGAATAATGGTTGAATACGCGGTCCCTCAATAATGGTTAATAAGAAGCAACGCCTATTTTATCATCAGAAATTGAAATACACTTTTGTCATTATGTAAAGCTGGAACCTCAAGATTATTGCAAGATTATCATAGTACCAGTTTGAACCAAATGTTTGAGGAATCTGAATTAACTTTTACCCTCCTTAAAAATATTTATATATAAATCAACATGTAATTTTCATAATTTTTGAAAGGTTGCGAAATTATTAGGAGGCTAATTCCCTTTTAGACCTCTCAGTTTGCGCCTATGAACAATGATACAAAATTAAAAGGTTTTCGTCTGAATATTTTAATAAATATTGTGAAAAATGTCAAAAATAGTTTCATTATCACTGTCGCCTTGAGATGGTCAGAGGGCTAAAAAAAAATTTTATATAAATACACAAAAGATAATTTTATTATATTTCATGGTACAAAATTTATAATTAAATAAGAGCAAATAATTCTTTGAACAATATTTATATATTTATACATAGGAATCTCCACAAAGTTTAACATATAATGAGAGCTTTTTTTTCTGTAATTTGTTCTTTATGAATCATAAACAAGTAAAATATATATAACACAAAAAAAATTTTTTTTATTTGAAACAAACATATAAAACTCATAAAATAAAATATAATATAGTAATACAAGAAAAAACTGTTAATAGTTTTTTGTTCGATAATTTTTGTTCGTTGGATTATATTTTAATTGTTTAAATTAAACCTTGTTTGGTTTCATTTTGCCACCACGGTTATCATAATCTTTTACCCTGTATATTCGAACAAGCCAGTGTTCAGTTGTATAAGCTTCATCAAGTACACTTAATGTAACATTTTTTATGCCAATTTCTGCATTTCTAACACGATCATAACCAGCAGGTTTTCCTATTAAAATAAGTAATAAACTAAGACATAATATATTTTTACATAAAATTATTTATTTTAAATGCGATCAATGTATAATTTTTATGCACAATAATATTAACAGAAATAACTTACCTCCTTCCGAAAATACTTGACCAAATCTATAGTAGCACATTTTGTACATTAATGAATTTTTTAATGTCTTAGACCCTTCCTTATCAACTCTAAATTCTCCACTTGGGGAATAGTAATCATATTCTTTGATATGTTTTCCTTTTTCAGTAGAACCACCAATACGTACCATCCATAGAAATTTATTAATGTCTAAAATTTTAGTATTATTTATAATGGTACTTTATATATAATAATTTTATAATTTGAATTACCATCTGATGAATAGCCAACAACACCCCCAAAAATAACAAGTACATAGTTCACATCTAATTCTTTCATTATTTCATAGGCTTCTTCTTCTCCAGAAGCCATTGCTTGACCAACCCTTGAGATATGAGTATTATTCCAAGTATTATTATCCACTAATATTGTTCTATTAGCCATAGCTGTTATTTGGTACCCATAATCCCACCAAGACATGACTCTTGCATCCTAAAATCATTATATTTTCCATTTAAACCTTTAGCATTACACTAGATAAGGAATTTCAAGGGTAATATTTTGAATGTAAACTACAGTATAAATAAATTGATTTTTTGGCCAAATAAGGTGATTCTATAAAATTAAAAATTAAATTATTAGGGGCATAAAAATATTTTAAATATGCATCTGGCTAGACAACTATGAATTCTTGAATACTTTTAAGGTAATCCTCACAGCTCAATTTGTAATAGTCTTGTTTACAAATATCAAAGTTAAACTGAGTTCAATAGGTTACATTAAAGATAGGCTCAAAAAATGAACAAGAGCGAACACTATTAGTGGTAAATTTAAAAGTGCAGCTTTTTTACATAAATAGACAGTTATTTCTTAATTAAGAAATGATGAGAAAAAAGGCAGCATTTATGATTTTTCCAACAAAAAAATATTTAAAACTTGACCTAACGAGGTATTAAAAAAATTATGTTAAAAATCAATTATAAAGTAAAATAAAAAAATAAACAAGTGACCTCAGCAGTGTTCATTCTTAACCAATAATATGCTTCCCTAAAGTCATCAAAAATAATTTGGGACCCATCATGAGTGCGAGCTGATAATACAATACTAGGAGAACTGTATGCTTCTGAAGTGACCCATGTGCAATGAAATACATATGAAATCATCATAAATGTAACTAAAGCTATAAATGCAGTAGCGATCTGAAATAAAAATACATAATAAAACAATTATTATTAAATAATAGTTTAAAATATAAATCTAAGTTTAATTATAATTTTATTAGTCTTTATATGATTTAGTTGAAGAGCATTTAAATAGAAGAGAAATTTATGATTTTCATTTTTTGAATATTGAGTAGTGTAATGTAACTATATTTTTTTATCTATCACTATCAATTAATCATGATATTTACCTCGCCTTTCAATGATTTATTGTCCTCATTCTTTTTAGATTTCTTTTCTGGTACCTTTACAGAACTTTCAAGATACTGAGACATGTATGTTGATAACATGGAAGAAACACCTATTCCAGATAAAATACACATTACTGGTGCAAGGACTAACATTAACCGTACCATGACACCCTAAAAAATAAAAAAAAATTCAGTTTGAAAATTTCAACTTTAAAAAAAATTAACTCTTACAGCAAAGTATATACTAGTGACACCATAAAGTATAACAAATATGTTGGCATCTGTAAGTTTCTTAAAACAGAAATATAACCCAACAGGAAACAAAAATACAAGTATCTGTAAATCAAAATAAAATGAAGACCATGATGTCGGTTGATGCTCAGACACAGATGCAATAATTGGAATATGGTTTTTGGCATAAGATGGGTCCAATAATGTATAAAAACGGCCAGTCCAAGGAGCAATTTTCCCTAAAAAGTATTTTTTAATTTATTAAGTATATTGTTCTGTTTTACAAAATTACTATATTACCAGTTATTGTGAGTAAACCACCAATAACAACAACAGAACCTCCTATTAGATAAACAATAAAGTGGAATAATTTTTGAAAGTCTTCACCTATAATTTTTGTACGCAAATAATTAATACCACCAAGTATTTGACAAAGACCAAAAACACCTAAAGCCTGAAAAGTTGTGAATGATTTAAATTAAGATAGAAATAATAACTACATATTAATAGGAAGATTTTAGTACATACCATCATATGCTCAGAAGTTTGGACAGGTTGAAAACCAACAAATGAAATTTGCATTGATAATATGGTACCAATACAATAAACAGAACTGTACGCTACATAAATTCTATGTGAAAAACGACCAGTAATCATAAGTACGAACACATGCATTGGTATTAAATTTATAAGAAATACATAACCACCCCATGAAGATACCTAAAACATATATATATATATAACAATTATGTATAAATGTGAGAAGTAAATTTTTACCATATAAAAATATGCTAATGCCGTAAATGAACCCCAGAGTATACTACCGGATTTGACAGTTTTAATCCACGCATAGTAGGTTAATAACATACAGAAAATGGCAATAGCTAAAAATTAAAAAAAAATAATATATAAATTAAATATCATGAAAACTTAAATTAAAATTCACCTTCATTATCATAAGATCCAGCCACTGAACGAGATATGTATCCTGGGACAATAGATATCATTGCTGCTGCTACAAGTCCTGCACGAGTATCTTTTAATTCTTTGGTTAAAAGGAATGTAATAATTGTTGTAAAACTAGAAAATAAAGGTGCCAAAAAGACACAAATATTTCTAATTTCTAATGTTATATTTAAGAAATGTAGGATATTAAAAATAACAGTTGATGTTATCATTAAACCAGGATAGATTGTACCTGAAAATTATATTTTTCTAATATTAAATTCTATGGTATACTATAAAAGAATCATTAATATACCTCCAATAATTCTTCCTAATGGATACCATGCTCGATCATCAAACCAATTATGAAATTTATAAAATCCTTCTTCTGTCAGGTATTGAGTGGTTCGATAGTTAAAGTATGGATCAAATTCATGAATGACACTTTCAAAACGAAGTACGGAAAATAACCTTGTTGCAAATGCTAAATAATAAAAATGAATTTATGAATAAATAAAAAAATCAAATTAAAGTTTATTACTTATATTGTAATAACTTACATAGAATTGCAGCTATGGTTAAAATGCTCATTTTCAAAAATGATTCTTGTTTGTCACGAGACATACCGAATGGTCTGTACAGTATTTTAACACCCATTTTTTATTGGAATCTATTATAATTTAATACTTAATTAAAAACATTATAAATATTACAAAACTACTATTACAAAAAATCAGCATTCTGAATGATTTCCATAGAGTATAAATATTTCTAGAATGAGAATTAATTGATAAATAATCTAGACGATTTGGATTTTTGAAAAGATATTCATACAACCTATGGTAATCAATAGCTTAACTGATGAAACTTCATTTGCTTATAAAAATATTGTTAAATTTTAATTTGACTTACGATACGTTTCTGAATTTTGGAACTAGTTTTTTTTTATTTTTTACCTAGGAACTACTATACACAATAATTAAATTTTAACAATTTAGTAACATTATACTTAAAGTAACAACCCTTAGGATAATTTAGTTGTATTTCACTATTAAATTGTGATACTAGGCACTCAAACCCGGTACAGATGCCGACAGCCGACTTATCGTAAAATCGAATCTAAACATAATATAAAACACATAACGGATCAAGGAGATTACAATTTTTCCTTATCATCATATTGAATGTAAAACATGGTTAGATAACATTGTTAGTCGACAAGTCAATGCCACGAATAAACATTACCCTGACACTATTCGGTGTTATGTTTGAATTTAACTTCCAATATTCAAAAATTATCATTTTCGCATACTTCGATTAGGCATAGAGTGGTCAAATTTTTCTCCTTCAAAAAATCTGCCCACCCGACACCTATGAGTGTATAAAAAAAATGTTTTTTAATATATTTTTGCCACAAATCATTAACAGAGGTATCCATTTACTCCGCTAATATTTCACAATAATAACGAATGTTGTTTTACTAAACAAATTAATTATTATTAAATATAACAAAATGCTATTTTTTTATAGAAAATAAAAAAAATTGCTGCTTTAAAAGTTAAAAAAAAAATCGATTGTTTGCATGTTGGCGACGGTAAAATTGTCGTCATCGATCATCTCTCTTCAACTTAAAGCGAAGCTGTAATATTAAATGTATATATTTTACTAAAGTATTCTTCTTCTTTTTATCCTTCAACATTTCCATAGCTGCATAATCTTACATCTTCCGATTTCTCTTTCCTCAAAACATAACTAAATCATCTAAGTCTATTTTCTCTCATCTTATCTACGATTGAAGATACATCTATACTCTTTCTTATATGTTTGTTCCTTATCCTATCTTCTCTTGTCTGTACTTATCACATTATTACATTTAAGCATCCTTATCACTGCTACAATCATTCTCTACTCTATTCTCTTAGCTGATCTCGCTACAGTCTTATGGAACTTATCTTTCAGTCTAATTGGAATACTCTTATTGCATAACATACCAGACGCTTCTATCCACTTTAACCACTCATATTTAATCCTGTGTCTTACATCCTCGTCAATACCACCATTCTTTTGCACAATTGATCATAAATACTTAAAACCTACTACCTCTCCTATCACATCTTTGATTATTGACACTGCTCCCCTCATTTCATCTACCTCGTGTTCTCCTTTGTCAAATTCGTACTCTATAGACTCTGGTCTTACTTCTACTTATTCTTAATACCTTTCCTTCAAGAGCAGATCTCCACACCTAAAGCCTTTTATTAATTTTCTATCCATTTTCTTCTATTAACACTACAATTTTTCATTTTATTCGTGCATTTTTATTGTTGTTGCAAATTTTTTTTATTAATCATGTTTTTCTTAATTTTACATTGTTTTTTTTTTTTAATAAAAAAATGTATATACATGTGTCAAATACAATTTGTAAAATGACATTTTTCATTTTTATAAAATAACTGTATTAGTTGTTTTATAAAAAATAAAGCTATTTATATATTTTTTTTTGCATTATAAATCAGTAATCAAAATAAACATTTTCTTTTCTTTTTATGTTACAAGTTTTAAAAAGTTAAATTTTAGCTTCGATGCGAAGCTGAGAAGGTATTGGTTTTACTAAGATTTGTTTTTTTTTTTTTTTTTTTTTTT